CCGTCTTATTAACTTGCTGTGGTGTTTCCACTTCCTTTCGTCTATCATACTGCCGGTTTCTCGTATGCACTTGAAACCACACTCACAAAGTATGGTGTATACCTAGCCTTGATACTTTGATTCTTGGCTCAATGGTCTCAACATGCATCAGCTGGCACCGTAATGTTCTTAGGACCTGAATTCACGGTATTCTACTGCTTCTAGCGATTATTTGCAGCTTCCCGAAGAGATATTGTACGCATGGAACATTAAAACTGGCGCAGCATTTCTGCTGATCGATTCTAGTCATTTCGTTGCTACTCCTGTTTTGCTGATTACTTCTTTAATTGGCCATCTAGGGTAGTCACTCTTTTTGAAGGACTTTCCAGATGTAAGCTGGTTCCTTTTGGACAAAAGTGTCGTCGGAACCCAAGTCAAAACATTTAAATGGCTAGTGATACCATTTAAATGGCTAGTGATTGCCTTTCTGTACACAACATGCGCGGTTTGCGCAAATCGAACGGCAAATATTTACTGCTATGTGTTGGAGTTTGAAACACTTCAGCAACGTACTTGTTTTGCTCGATTAATACAGCAAACTAACCTGTTTTACAGTATGCCACATCCTGAAGACGGACAGAGCATGATCTCAAACCATGGAGAATAAGTATATTGTAAATCTGATATGCGGTGTCATTTCGTAAAGGAATATCCGAATTTTGAATCATAGAATTCTAACATACGTATGAAAAATATTGCATGATTTTTCTGAGTCAGCTCATTAATAATGAGAATAATGCTAACCTCATTTTCTAATTACGAATTTTCATTTCACGAACAGTTTTGAATTAATTATGTTCATAAACTTAGGGACACAAGCATGTATGGAACCGATGATCATTTTGAAGAATGGTCACAACGATCATCATAATTATCAAAATAATAATCACAGTCATCACTACTGTAATAATTATCATCAGCAGGACCAACACTAACTGATTCATCATTAGCCTGATAACCGTCTATGGACGAAAGATCAGTTGCAAGATAATGAACATATTTATCACGGCGATCATAATCATCAAAAATGTGAAGAAGTAAAAGTGCAGAAAATACGCACGAAAACTTAAAGTTCTTACTGGATACATGCAGTGAGAGCCGTCTGCTTGAGTAACTGAAACTTGTTCAATGTACTCGTAGAATTCATGGTACATCGCCACGATCGTGTCCAGAACTATCGTCGCCTTGTGCAGATCGGTAGCCGTGCACTCGATAAAAATGTTACGAGTTTGAAGCGAGATCTTCGAATGGTCACCGTTAATGATGGGCGGCATGGACAGAATGGTCCCAAGTCTGTCGTAAATGACCGGGTAGTTCAAAGAGTACTCAATTATGGGCAAATACGGACGCAGGTGACTGTCAGTCTGAAAACAGAAAGAAGTTTTAAACCGATAAATATTAAACTAATGTTTAAATAATTAAAAGCAGGTTGCATAACAAAAAAGAAATCGAATAACCGCATAAAACTTCATAAGATCCGGCGCACTGAATTCTCTGGTTTGATTCAACGGCATGAACTTAATTTCTTCAGGTGGCCTTGCAGTATAAGTGAACGGCGGGATGACCGTGTCCAAATCGTGTGCCCCAATGGCGACCAGGGTTCGCTTACGACAGATATTCTGATGCAATTTCTCCTGCAGGTCGATGAAGCTGTCGAATGCATCCTGTGTGAAATTTACGTTGCGTAGAACAGCAGCAACGACGTACGGGCGGATTTCGTTAACCTATCAAGGAAAAGCGTATTTATAGCGGAAGCAAAAGAAAGAGCATTAGTGAAAACGACAAAATTAAATCAGTTTTTATCAGATTTTCACCACATTTATGCAAAACCCTACTTGATTTCATAATTAAATTTAATAAATATATCCTACTGTTGATATCCAGAGTGATAATCACCCATATTTCTGAAGAAGACGGTCAATATTTCGGAATGTCATAAACGGTTAACAAAGCAGACGATTGTTACCGATATTTTTTTTTCACTTATAGACATTTCAGATCCAGCACCATCAGTATTTAGAGCTACGACAATTAATGCACCGTGCAATATTCATGCGGGTCGACTTGGTCCTTATAACTGATGCAACACTACTTATCAATGCTCTCAATGGATCGTTTCATGGTTTCGTTCCTGGTGTAGCTGATGCTTGCTCCATGGTCGCGACTGCAACAAATGACTACGTATATATGCACCATTTTCTTGTATTTACCGCTATTGTTGTTCCCGTGCAATGCCGTTCGTTTTCTCTCAAGAAATGACTCACTGGTTGATTACTGTATGTTGTACGATGACAGAATTTTTATGACGTTCCGCTGTAACAAGCGAGGCATCCTATATTGGCCTACTTTCTGATAAAAGTATTACATATAGGTATTTTTGTAATATACTACATTAAACGGACTGTATGTCAAAATGATGGTTTTACCAGAAAACATGGTTTATTTCTGTGATCAAGATTTCCTTCCATAAAATAATCCACCTATATTAAGGAAAATTATTAAATAGCTCTATAGTAGCTTGAGTAAATCGTAATTTCAGACGTCAGACACTTTTCTATTATTACTTCGCCCTCATCAGGGCCCCAACATTAATAAGTTCCTGCAAAGCATAAAAATTAGTTGTTCATCAATGACGATCATTATGGTAAATATTTATTGAGCATTACTTCCGGACGAGCGGTCAACTGGATCGGGGAACTCACAGTTACAGGCTTCAACATTGCAGGGGTCTTTCTAAATCAAGTAAAGTTGACAACAGTCTACTAAAAGAGGATAACGAACCTACTTTCCCAGAAATATCAAAAGCGCATCGATCAGCCCTTCAAAGCACAAGAGGTCATACCTAAAAACGAAAGCGTAAAACAAAGAATGCACAATAATTGTGAAAGTTTACCAAACATTTGAAGCAAGCCATCTCTTTTAATTCATGGATGCGTCAAAAAAGTTTCGGCTGCAAAAGTGCGCACCTTTGAGGTTGCATAAGAAAAATGAGGCTAGTGACATATCAGGGTAAGTTTCACCACTGGCTCAAGAAAATTTCTGACAGATCCTGTGATAAGTACCTATTTAACGAAGGACATTCTTGATCAGCAACTGGTTCGGCATAATCGTAACAAGCGATTACCGAAACCATACACTTCCTTGCCTCGATCGCAATAATGAGGCATCTGTGAGGCAAAACCGCAGACAGTAAAAGTTTAACGGCTTTATCTGAGGAAAGGAACTAAAATGCGCCTACGTTAGGACTGATTGAAACGCCTACTCGTTACAAAATCATATAAAAAAGGTAGGAAATTTAGCTGCCATTTATTTTTCAAGCCATATTCACCATAATTTACAAGAACTTCGAAAATTCTGTAGTTCTTTTCAGATGGAAAATGGAATAGGCATAGAGTTAGAGTCATTCGTTCCCTGGTTATCCTTTCACATATCCTTCCATCTGTTTCATCGCCCATTAAACTAATCGTTAATCTGTCCATCTATTACTGTATCCGTTAACTGGTGTCCGTATTTCATACACAGATATATAAAGTAAATGACGCGCACCCACTATTTGCCTTAGATGATTTACGTAACAACAAACACGTACCTGTTGGCCGGAATTTCGATTTTATAAACCTGTTGTTCAACACCAGTTCTGACATGCTTTTCCACACACTAAAAACAAGTCATAATTAATCGCATAACGCGATTAAGACAAGTTATCGTACGAATTCATCCAGTTCCAATCCATAGCTGAAGCACAGGTCACTCAATTCTTCCATCTCTGTTTAGAAAATCAAAATTATTGGTATGAAATCAATGCGATACGCATATATGTTAATATTTAAATCTAAAACCAATTAATGACTGATTTCTTTCAGCCAAAATGGCAATACGGGACTTAAACAGACATGTACTATTCACGAAGAAGCTGAAGAACAGTAATGTGGAGGCAACTGGCTTCATATGAATGCAGGATATTGACTGAATGAATGCGATCCCAATTACAAGCAACTGAAATGAGCCTTTACCGTATTATTACCCGGTGAAAAAGCAGGGCATAATTTGGAAAACGGTAATCACGGATACCTGCCTTTGGCTATGAGCCATTTCTTCTTCTCAAGATGAAGAAATCAAAATTGAGATGGTTTAGATTGCGACGAGCATGTAATAATGCAAAAGAGACCAAGATCCAGGGGTAGACAGGGCACGGCCTGCTCGATTATTGCGATGACCTAACCCTGTCACATTTTGGAATCCAGCACATGAGACTTTCCCATCTTGTAGAGGACCGGGAAGATTGAAAAAGTTTCCCAAAGCTGCCGCCCTAGCGTCGTGAAACGAATAGCTGAGAAACGAACATTGAAAGTCAAAAAAAGAACTGATTTACAAATCATGCTCGAAGGACAGTTCAAGTACGATTTACACTCCACCTATGTGGGGGTATTATCATCATCTAAGGCTATCAATGTTTGAACAGTACAGCTGTATAGACTGGCCATATTTAAATCATTATGGGAAGTGAGTGAGCATGAATTAATCTCATAAACAAGTTCATAAAAGAATTCCAATTCAGTACATAAAAGAAAATAATGCGAAAATTGAATAAAAATAATAGTGAAAATACAGCAAACAAATTTTCAGACAAAAAACATTATTAAAATTATAATCCCCTACTGCATGGCAATCACATGATGGATAGAAAAACCAGATAGCATTTTAAGATATATTATTCGCAAGCCTGTCAGAATCATGAGCTCGAACCGACAGCTAACTGCCATATGGGGAAGTGCGAATTTGGCACGCAGCCGGAACGGCAAAGGAACACTGAC